TAAAATGCGTGACAAGCTGTTAGACGTGGTGCTGACAGAGCTATAGGAGCAAAACAGCCCAGGAACAGAACCTGGTATTGTCTTTCTATAATGTGTGAATAAATTTAAAATGTTGCAAAACGTTTTACGTAATAGTCAGATTAAAATATTTTGAAAAAGTCACCATACGTCAGAAGGGGGATAAGATTATATTTATGAGCGTGTGGCTGTCAGTATGAGCAGTAGTCGTCCTTTTGAGCAGTGATTTGTTTTTTTTTTTAAGTCCCAAAGGAAACAGATATGATTAACATGTCAGACTCCCAGATTTACATTGGTAGAGAGCCTAACTCTAAATTTAGCCAATGTGAAGGCTAAATGTTATTTATCTGTACATATGCATAACACACAGTTTACACACACATACATATAACTTACGCACATGCACCTTACACACATACATGTTTTATATGTACACATACCTCACATACATACACTCACACATTGTATGTATACACACAATTCACATATACATACATTCACACACATACATATAACTTATGCACATGCATCTTACACACATACATGTTTTATACATACACATACTTCACATAGATACATTCACATGCATTTTATGTATATACATAATTCACATATACATACACACATTTTACATATATACATGTTTTTACACATACATTTATACACATGCATATATTTTATGTAACCACACACATACACACACATACGTGCTTCATTCCCGGTTTTATTTTATGTCCTACTTGTTAATGCTACTTCTTTCTCGCCCCTTATTTCTATTTCCGGTTTATCACATCCTTCTTGTATTTTATATATCTTTATATACCTGAAAACTTTTTGAAGAAAAAAGGTGTCCTATAACTAAAGAAGTAGATGGGGCCAGCAGGTGGCAAGGTGGTTGAGGGTACTGGACTCCCACATGGTTGACCATGATTCGAGTCCTGGACCTGGCAGCTTGCTTTCTCACTTTCTCTCTCTCTCTCTTGCTCTGTTCCTCTCTGGTCAAATTTAAACAAACAAATAAATGGATAAATAAATGAAGTTAAATAAAATAATTTTAAAAATAAATTAAGAAGTAGAATAAAATACAATACGTAGAAAAATGACTTAGAGAAATTACACCCTGATTGGAGTAGGTTAATTTTGGGGAGGTGGTAGTGTGGTAATTAGATTAGATGTTGTATTAATTTCCTAAATTTTTCTTAACTATTTGTGGATTTGCTACTCAGAGCAAACTTCTATTAGAAAAAGAAATCATAGTTTTTTTTTTTTTTTTTTTTTTTTAGTTAAGCATTCCTGTTCCTGTGCACAGGTGAAGGGAACCCATTTCTGTCTGGCCTGCAGATGCACCTGAGGGTCTGGGGAGTAGGGGACAGTATGTAGCAGGATCGTCTCCAGGTTTTGCAGCTTTCCGTGAAGCTGAGGGGAGAAGCTGGTTGGGCTCCCAGGAGCACATGTCGGCTGCTTGAGCTCATCATGCAGGTGGTGAGTGAGAGCTGGAAGGGAACTCTCACTCATTCCTTTAGAGCATTTCTAGAGCCCTTCCTAGGTCCTGGGGAGCTTACAGCCTAGTTTACATCATAGACAATAATGCAGTGAAACTCACAGAAATTTCTGAATATAGTGACGCAGCCTTAGTATGGTGACTTTAGCCTTGATACAGATGAAGAGGAGGACCAACTCTTGGCATGGTAGTTAAGGAGGCTGGATCCCACATGACCTACTGCATGGTTCGAGTCCTGGACCTGGTGATTTAAAAAAATATGCTATGGCCATGTATATGCATGTGCAAAATCTGGAGATGAGATGGAGGAGAAAGGATTGCAGTGCGGCTGCCTCCCCTCAGGGGGTGCTTTCTCACTTTCTTACTCTCTCTCCAGAGCATATATGTGCCCTGCAGCAAATAAAAATAAATGTAGTGCCCAAAGAAGAAAAATAGAAAAGATGATGAGATGCCTGAGTAAAGAGCGAGGGATGGATTTCCAGAGAGAGGGGCTTGCTTGTGCCAAGACCTGGTGGTGTGCAGGAGTTGGACAGCTCACAGAAGTGAACAAGGGTTGGCCTGGCCGTCGGTGATGAGCAGGTCTGGGACAGAGAGGACACTGGAAAGATTGGCCAGGACCAGATCTGGCTGGACCAGGGGAAGGAGTTTGAAGTTTACAGTGAAGATGGCGGATAGCTACTGAGCAGATTCATCAGAGGACAGGCAGCAGGTGACCGAAGGTGTAAGAAGCTCCTTCTGGGGACCAGTGGATGGCATAATGGTTATGTCGTTGGACTCCCGTGTAATTGTTCACAGTTCAAGTCCTGAACCCAGCGACTTGCAACACTCTCGGTACATGTGTGTGCGTGCCCAAAATCCTGAGAGGAGAATGGAGAAGGGATTGCGGTGTGGCCATCCCCCCGGGGGGTGATTTCTCATTTTCCGTCTCTGTTTCTCTGGTGATTTCACACACCCTATAGCAAAAAATCTCTCTGAAGAAACAAACAAAAACAAAAACAAAAATACCCAAGAAGCTCCTCTGGATGCTTAGAAAGAGTAGCTTAGAGGGGAGGGCAAGAGATGAAGCCAGGGGAATGCTAGGGAGATTATATCCAAACTGATTGCTACAGAGTGATGTTTTTTGTGTTTTGAGGGAGGGACACAATTTAAGAGGTCATAGGTTGAGGCCCAACCTATGACCTGGTTATTAAGGCTACTGGATTTCACATGGCTGATCATGAAAAATACACTTCGGTACATGTGTATGAGTTCTCAGAATCCCCACAGGTGGTAGAGATGGAGGAGAGGGAATTACAGTGTAACCATGCCCCATGGGGTGGGGGTGCTTTCTCACGGAGTTCTTTCTGCACCCGCCCTCTGTCTCCAGTAAGCCACATACCCTATTGCAGATTAAAAAAAGAACAAGAAAAATGGTTTTGTCAGGGTTTCTGTGTTAGTATTTACTGATGGAATAAGTTTGCATTTAAAGTGGTAAATGTTTTTTCATTTGGTAACATTATCTCTACGATAGATTCCAGATATGTATTACCCTTTTAATTATGTATAGTAATACTTAAAATTTTTTTGTCAAAAGAAAATTCAGCATAGATGAGTATTTTTCTGACTCCTATAGAGCCACGCTCAGTTGATCCCCGTTGAGCAGCATCTGCAAGATTTGATCCGTTCAGAAATCTGAGCTCACTAGCATTGCCTGGGCTGGCATTTTCTTAGCTCAGATCAGCTTAGCTGGATATAGAAAATGTAATATTTTACTTAGGAAGAATGACTCATTACTTGAGGCATTAAGAGTCCTGGGTTTGATCTTTATTGTTGCACAAGTTTGATTTGACCTTGGGTACATCAGTTTGGTTTGTATTTTAGTGCCTCTACATGTGCAGAAGATGAGTAATAATAGTTCCCATAAACCTTCTGCCCTCAAGGGATTTGGTCGAGTGTGCCCCAGAGGGATAATAGCATGTGCAAAGGCCCCGTGGAGGGAGGACAGAACTGAAAGACTGTGTCTATAGCTGAAGAGCGCAGTGCAAGGGCGAGACGGTCCCAGACTGTGTTGTAGAGACACAAGATGGGCAGGATCTTGTACGCCTTGTCGGAGACTTTACTCTTTATCTGAAGAGCAAGAGAAAGCCATTGAAGGACTTAAATAGGGAAGTGACATAATGTTGATAGACATGCTGTTCCATTTAATCTTCATGACAAATGTACATACAAAGTAATAGGAACCTCATTTTAAAAATACATTTTTAAAATTGGTTTATTTCTTCAATGAATAAGAAAGAGAGGAGTCTTTTTTTTGGGGGGTGAGAGGTTTTTGCTATAGGGTGCTTGCGCTCACCAGACAGACAGAAAGAGACAGAGAGACAGAAAGCGAGAAATTACCCCCCAGGGGGGATGGCTATGCCGCAATCCCTTTTCCTCCATTCTCCTCTCGGGATCTTGGGCATGCACGCACATGCGCCCAGCGTGAGTTTTAAGCCACCGGGTCTGGGACGCAAACCACAGTCGACTACGTGGGAGTCCAGCAACATAGCCATTACGCTAACTGCTGATCCCGAAAGAGAGGAGTCTTGATGCTGTGATCCATTCCCATCCCTCAGCCAGCCCTGGATCATGGATATTTGTGTACTTGATATACTCAGGGAGGTCTCTGGACTTGAACCAGGAACCTTCCCATATGGGATTGCATTGCAGAGCTTTGCATTTTACCCCATTGTCCCCCATATTAAACCATCATGGAAGCATAGGACACTAGAGCATATTGGGTTGTGGGAAAAATCATGACGCATGTTTTGCATAGAAAAACAAGTTTAACCAAGGCCACTTTGCCGATGAATGGTGGTGCCAGGAAACAAACTCAGGTGAGCCTGGGTCCAGAGTCCTTGGCCCCCCCTTATCAGCCTACCTCAATAGTAACAGAACAATGACCACAGTTTTAAAATGCTTTGAACTCTTAAGATGAAAGAGATTTCCCTTAAATGACAAAGTGGTATTATGCTGTGGATATATGAGTGGTAATGAGAGAGCAGCATGCCCGGGAACTTTGAAAGGCCTAGTCTGCATGGCTCCTCTCCAGCACCTTCGGGTTTCTTGCCGTCTGGCGGGGGCATCTCACAAGCAGCTCTCAACACAAAGAAGGGTTTGGCTGCTCCAGCAGGCTATTTGACACTGCCATTGTCCATAAGGACCCATTGTCCCTGCAATGTGCTCAGCGTTTGTGCTTTAGGGATTTTGAGTTGGGAAATCAGATCTGGGCAGTTTGTGCATGGTTTCACTGGAACCCTCATCCAATGTCAAGTTTCTGCTTGCTGCTTTATCCCTCTTGGGAGGTCAGCTGGCTCAGTGGATTCTAAGAAGTTGCTCATAGAGATCGCCATCTTGATTTTGAATCCAAGTAGCCTTAGTCAGGGTTCAAGTGGGAAAACACTCACTGGCCCATGGCCCCCTCGGTCTCTTATTGATGAAAACAAATGTTTGTTTCTTTCAGTTGACCATGTTGTTCCTGAGCCTGGGACAAGCCTGCTGGCCGCCTTTGACCAGTGGAGGGAATGGGCTGACAGCAAGTCCTGCTGTGACTACTCTCTGCACGTGGACATCACCGAGTGGCATAAGGGCATCCAGGAGGAGATGGAAGCTCTGGTGAAGGACCACGGTAGGTTGCTCTGACTCCACAGCCTCTGCAGGTACTTCTGTTTCCATCCATGAACTGGCCCAGCTCTGTGAATAGTGCTTAGAGATCCTCCTAGTACCTCATACCCATGCCTGCCCCTAGCAAGGAGAGAGGGTTTGGGCTGCAGCTCAAGCTGATTAAAGGTGGCGTCGCCTGATCAGTAACGTAAGCCCTCAGTGATAAGAGAACAGGAGCCTTCTTACTGGGGCCTATTCTCATGTAACAGCTGCTCGAAGCCTATTAGTTTGAGGGAACTGTTGTCTAGGCGAGTTGGGGAGTTGATTCTGCAGTGAGAGTGATTTTACCCTTAATGGATGCATATTCCAATGAGCATTCTGGGCAGACTTAGGAGGGTGTACACATGTCTTGAGTGTTGGGTGGCCTCTTCCTACTAAGTTGGAAGAAACCAAAGTAGATTTGAGGTTGGTGAAGTATTTCAAACCTGCAAACCTAGGGCAACTTTTTCATTCCATGCAGTTATTTTTGAGGTGCAAGATTTCAGGGATTGAAAAGTCATAGGGAGGCTGGAGGAATCTTTTCTGCCTTAAGATACCTCTGGGACTGTCTTATCCACAGGAACCTTGGGGATTAGACGGTATAAAAAGTCAAACCACTTTACCTGGTTTTCTTTGAGTTTGGCTATAGACTAGATTCCTGAGGTCACTTGCTGACCGTGGTGGCGCATAACCTTCAGGGACGCACCTATTGCTTTGGGGTTATGGTGTTATCCTTTCGGTCTCAGAAGCACCATACACTGAGTAAAATGGCAGGAAAGAAATCTTAAGACATGGGTATGGCGGTGTCCATAGAAGAAGCCCTGGAATGAAAATGTAGTCTTGGGATTTATTTTTCTGTTTTTCACAGTTAAGCTGTGTGACTTTGGGCAAATCCCTTCAATTTAAGGGTCTCAATTAAAAAAAAAATTCTCTCAGATGAGGGTATTGATACAGATCAAATGATCTCCAGGATTTTTTCTGGCGTGAAGATTTCACAGAAAAGGGACCAGCAGTTAGCGTAATGGCTGTGTCACTGGACTCCCATGTAGTCCACCACAGTTTGAGTCCCGTACTCGGTGGCTTAAATTCACGCTGGGCGCGTGTGCGTGCGTGCTCAAGGTCCCGAGAGAATGGAGGAGAAGGGATTGCGGTGTGACCATCCCCCCTGGGTGGGATTTCTTGCTTTCTACTGTCTCTCTGTGTCTTTTTTTTTTTTTTTTTTGACTTTTTTGAATCTACCGCAAATCCGGCAG